ACACTCACCACCACACTCACCACACGATCACCACACTCACACCACTCACCACCACACTCACCACCACTCACCACCACACTCACACCTACACTCACACCACTCACCACACCTCACCACCACACTCACCACCACTCACCACACTCACCACCACACTCACCACCACACTCACCACCACGATCACCACACTCACAACACTCACCACACACTCACCACCTACACTCACCACCACACTCACCACCACTCACCACACTCACCACCACCACTCACCACACTCACCACCACCACTCACCACCATCACACCACTCACCACCACACTCACCACACGATCACCACACTCACCACACTCACCACCACCACTCACCACCACTCACCACCACCACTCACCACCACGTCACCACCACTCACAACACTCACCACCACACTCACCACCACTCACCCCCACTCACCACACTCACCACACTCACCACCACACTCACACCACTCACCACCACACTCACCACCACTCACCACCACTCACCACACTCACCACCACACTCACCACCACTCACCACCACACTCACCACCACTCACCACCACACTCACCACCACACACCACCACTCACCACCACACTCACCACCACTCACCACCAAACTCAACACCACTCACCACCACACTCACGACCACTCACCACACTCACCACACTCACCACCACACTCACCACCCACTCACCACCACACTCACCACCACTCCCCACCACACTCACCACCCACTCACCACCACACTCACACCACACTCACCACCACACTCACCACCACTCACCACCACACTCACCACACTCACCACCACACTCACCACCACTCACCACCACTCACCACACTCACCACACTCACGACCACACTCACCACCACACTCACCACCACTCACCACACTCACCACACTCACCACACTCACCACCACACTCACCAACCACTCACCACACTCACCCACTCACCACCACATCACCACCACACTCACCACCACTCACCCACCACTCACACCACACTCACACCACTCACCACCACTCACCACCACACTCACCACCAGTCACCACCACTCACCACCTACTCACCACCACACTCACCACCACTCACCACCACCTACTCACCACCACTCACCACTACTCACCACCACACTCACCACCACTCACCACCACTCACCACCACTCACCACCACACACCACCCACTCACCACCACTCACCACCACTCACCACCACACTCACCACCACTCACCACCCTCACCACTACTCCACCACCACACTCACCACCACTCACCACCACTCATCCACCACTCACACACTACTCACCACCACTCACCACCACTCACCACCACTCACCACCACACTCACCACCACTCACCATCACACTCACCACACTCACCACCACTCACCACCACTCACCACACACTCACAACCACAATCACCACCACGATCACCACACTCACCACCACTCACCACACTCACCACTCACCACCACAATCACCACCACGATCACCACCACTCACCACCACTCACCACACCACTCACCACCACTCACCACACTCACCACCACATCACCACCACTCACCACCACTCACCACCACACTCACCACCACTCACCACCACTCACCACTACTCACCACCACTCACCACCACAGTCACCACCACTCACCACCACTCACAACACACTCACCACCACTCACCACATCACTCACCACCACTCACCACACTCACCACCACACTCACCACCATCTCACCACCACACTCACCACACTCACCACCACTCACCACCACACTCACCACCACTCACCACCACTCACCACTACTCACCACCACTCACCACCACAGTCACCACCACTCACCACCATCACCAACCACTCACCACCACACTCACCTACCACAATCACCACCACTACTCACCACCACTCACCACCACACTCACCACCACACTCACCACCACACTCACCACTACTCAACCACACTCACCACACTCACCCCCACTCACCTCACTCACCACCACAATCACCACCACACTCACCCCCCACTCACCACACTCACCACCACTCACCACCACACTCACCACCACTCACCACCACTCACCACCACACTCACCACCACACTCACCACCACACTCACCACCACTCACCACACTCACCACCACACTCACCGCCACTCACCACCACTCACCACCACACTCACTACCACACTCACCACCACGATCACACACTCACCACACTCACCACCACACTCACCACCACCACCCCTCACCACACTCACCACACTCACCGCCACTCACCACCACTCACCACCACTCACCACCACACTCACCACCACGATCACCACACTCACAACACTCTACCACCACACTCACCACACTCACCACCACTCACCACACTCACCACACTCACCACCACACTCACCACCACTCACCACCACTCACCACACTCACCACCACTCACCACCACTCACACCACACTCACCACCACACTCACCACCACTCACCACACTCACCACCACCACCCCTCACCACATTCACCACCACTCACCGCCACTCACCACACTCACCACCACACTCACCACCACTCACCACCACTCACCACCACTCACCACACTCACCACCACTCACCACCACACTCACCAGACTCACCATCACACTCACCACACTCACCACCACTCACCACCACACTCACCACCACACTCACCACCACTCACCACACTCACCACCACTCACCACCACACTCACCACACTCACCATCACACTCACCACTCACCACCACACTCACCACACTCACCACCACTCACCACCACACTCACCACCACTCACCACCACTCACCACTACTCACCACCACACTCACCACCACTCACCACCACTCACCACACTCACCACCACTACTCACCACCACCCTGACCACTACTCACCACCACACTCACCACCACTCACCACCACTCACCACCACACTCACCACCACCACTCACCACCACACTCAGCACCACTCACCCCCACTCACCTCACTCACCACCACCACTCTCCACCACTCACCACCACACTCACCACCACTCACCACACTCACCACCACACTCACCACCACTCACCACCACACTCACCACCACACTCACCACCACACTCACCACCACTCACCACCACTCACCACACTCACCACCACACTCACCACCACTCACCACCACTCACCACACTCACCACCACTCACCACCGCACTCACCACCACACTCACCACCACTCACCACCACTCACCACCACACTCATCACCACTCACCACCACTCACCACCACACTCACCACCACCACTCACCACCACACTCACCACCACACTCACCACCACTCACCACACTCACCACACTCACCCCACTCACCTCACTCACCACCACACTCACCACCACTCACCACCACCCTCACCACCACAATCACCACCACACTCACCCCACTCACCACACTCACCACCACTCACCACCACACTCACCACCACTCACCACCACTCACCACCACACTCACCACCACACTCACCACCACACTCACCACCACTCACCACACTCACCACCACACTCACCGCCACTCACCACCACTCACCACCACACTCACTACCACAATCACCACCACTACTCACCACCACTCACCACCACACTCACCACCACACTCACCACCACACTCACCACCACTCACCACACTCACCACCACACTCACCACCACTCACCACCACTCACCACACTCACTACCACTCACCACCACACTCACCACCACTCACCACCAATCACCACCACACTCACCACCACACTCAGCACCACACTCACCACCACTCACCACCACTCACAACCACACTCACCACCACGATCACCACACTCACCACCACTCACCACCACTCACCACCACACTCACCACCACTCACCACCACACTCACCACCACTCACCACCAACTCACAACCACACTCACCACCACTCACCACCACTCACCACCACTCACCACCACACTCACCACCACCACACTCACCACCACTCACCACCACTCACCATCACTCACCACCACTCACTACACTCACCACCACTCACCACACTCACCACACTCACCACCCACTCACCACCACTCACCACACTCACCACCACTCACCACACTCACCACCACTCACCACAGCCACTCACCACCATTCACCACCACTCACCACACTCACCACCACTCACCACCACTCACCACCACACACACCACCACCACACTCACCACCACTCACCACCACTCACCACACTCCCCACCACTCACTACACCTCACCACCACTCACCACACTCACCACACTCGCCTCCACTCACCAACACACTCACCACCACACTCACCACCACTCACCACCACTCACCACCACACTCACCACCACTCACCACCACACACCACCACACTCACCACCACTCACCACCACACTCACCACCACTCACCACTCACCACCACACTCACCACCACTCACCACCACTCACCACACTCACTCCCACTCACCACCACTCACCACCACTCACCACCTCACTCACGACCATACTCACCACACTCACCCCCACTCACCACCACTCACCACCACACTCACCACCACTCACCACCACTCACCACCACACTCACCACCACTCACCACCACTCACCACCACACTCACCACCACTCACCACAGCTATATGAGTCCTGTAGGAGCCTTGAGGACCTCCTGCAAGGAGGAAGTGGCGCTGTTGGTGGAGTTCATTGAGGATCTCACCACCACTCACCACTACTCACCACCACTCACCACCACACTCACCACCACTCACCACACTCACCACCACTCACCACCACCACTCACCACCACTCACCACAGCTATGAGTCCTGTAGGAGCCTTGAGGACCTCCTGCAAGGAGGAAGTGGCGCTGTTGGTGGAGCTCATTGAGGGTCTCACCACCGCTCACCACCACTCACCACCACTCACCACTACTCACCACCACTCACCACCACACTCACCACCACACTCACCACCACTCACCACAGCTATATGAGTCGTGTAGGAGCATTGAGGACCTCCTGCAAGGAGGACGTGGAGCTGTTGGTGGAGCTCATTGAGGATCTCACTGCTGAGCGATGGAATCCCGTCGCCTGGGACTCAGCAAAACGAAAACTTCAGGAAGCCACAAAGCAGGTGATGGTGGTGGTGATGGTGGTGATGGTGGTGATGGTGGTGATGGTGGTGATGGTGGTGGTGATGGTGGTGGTGGTGATGGTGGTGGTGATGGTGGTGGTGGTGATGGTGATGGTGGTGGTGATGGTGGTGATGGTGGTGGTGGTGGTGATGGTGGTGATGGTGGTGGTGGTGGTGATGGTGGTGGTGGTGATGGTGATGGTGGTGATGGTGATGATGGTGGTGGTGGTGGTGGTGATGGTGGTGGTGGTGGTGGTGATGGTGGTGATGGTGATGGTGGTGATGGTGATGATGGTGGTGTTGGTGGTGATGGTGATGGTGGTGATGGTGATGATGGTGGTGGTGGTGATGGTGGTGATGGTGATGGTGGTGATGGTGGTGGTGGTGATGGTGGTGATGGTGATGGTGGTGGTGATGGTGGTGATGGTGATGGTGATGGTGGTGGTGGTGGTGATGGTGATGGTGGTGTGATGGTGGTGGTGGTGATGGTGGTGATGGTGGTGGTGATGGTGGTGATGGTGTGATGTATGGTGGTGATGGTGGTGATGGTGGTGGTGATGGTGGTGGTGGTGGTGGTGATGGTGGTGATGGTGATGGTGGTGGTGATGGTGGTGATGGTGGTGATGGTGGTGGTGATGGTGGTGATGGTGGTGATGATGGTGGTGGTGGTGATGGTGATGGTGGTGATGGTGGTGATGGTGATGGTGGTGGTGGTGGTGATGGTGATGATGGTGGTGATGGTGGTGGTGATGGTGGTGATGGTGATGGTGGTCATGGTGATGGAGGTGTTGGTGGTGGTGATGGTGGTGATGGTGGTGGTGGTGGTGATGGTGATGGTGGTGGTGATGATGGTGATGGTGGTGATGGTGGTGGTGATGGTGGTGATGGTGGTGATGGTGGTGGTGGTGGTGGTGGTGATGGTGGTGGTGGTGATGGTGGTGGTGATGGTGGTGGTGGTGATGGTGATGGTGGTGGTGGTGATGGTGGTGGTGGTGGTGGTGGTGATGGTGGTGGTGGTGGGGTGATGGTGGTGGTGGTGGTGATGGTGGTGATGGTGGTGGTGGTGGTGATGGTGGTGGTGGTGATGGTGGTGGTGGTGATGGTGGTGGTGGTGATGGTGGTGGTGGTGGTGGTGATGGTGGTGGTGATGATGGTGGTGATGGTGGTGATGGTGGTGATGGTGATGGTGGTGGTGATGGTGGTGGTGATGGTGATGGTGGTGGTGATGGTTGGTGATGGTGGTGGTGGTGGTGATGATGGTGGTGGTGATGGTGGTGATGGTGATGGTTGTGGTGATGGTGGTGGTGATGGTGATGGTGGTGATGATGGTGGTGGAGATGGTGGTGATGGTGATGGTTGTGGTGATGGTGGTGGTGATGGTGGTGGTGATGGTGATGGTGGTGGTGATGGTGGTGATGGTGATGGTGGTGATGGTGGTGATGGTGGTGATGGTGATGGTGTGATGGTGATGGTGGTGGTGTGGTGGTGGTGGGTGATGATGGTGGTGAGGGTGGTGATGGTGGTGGTGATGGTGGTGATGGTGATGGTGGTGATGGTTGATGGTGGTGTTGGTGGTGGTGATGGTGGTGATGGTGGTGGTGGTGATGGTGATGGTGGTGATGATGGTGATGGTGGTGGTGGTGATGGTGGTGGTGGTGGTGATGGTGGTGATGGTTGATTGTGGTGGTGGTGGTGGTGGTGATGGTGGTGGTGGTGGTGATGGTGATGGTGGTGGTGATGGTGGTGGTGATGGTGGTGGTGATGGTGGTGGTGGTGGTGGTGATGGTGGTGGTGGTGATGATGGTGGTGATGGTGGTGATGGTGGTGGTGGTGATGGTGATGGTGGTGGTGGTGATGGTTGGTGATGGTGGTGGTGGTGGTGATGGTGGTGGTGGTGGTGATGGTGGTTGATGGTGATGGTGGTGGTGCTGGTGGTGGTGGTGGTGATGGTGGTGGTGATGATGGTGGTGATGGTGGTGATGGTGGTGATGGGTGATGGTGGTGGTGATGGTGGTGGTGATTGGTGATGGTGGTGGTGATGGTGGTGATGGTGGTGGTGGTGGTGGTGATGGTGATGGTGGTGGTGGTGATGGTGGTGGTGATGATGATGGTGATGGTGGTGATGGTGGTGATGGTGATGTGGTGGTGATGGTGGTGGTGATGGTGGTGATGGTGGTGATGGTGATGATGGTGATGGTGGTGGTACTGGTGGTGGTGATGGTGGTGGTGATGGTGGTGGTGGTGGTGGTGATGGTGGTGGTGGTGGTGATGGTGGTGATAATGGTGGTGATGGTGGTGATGGTGGTGATGGTGGGGTTGATGATGGTGATGGTGGTGGTGATGATGGTGGTGATGGTGGTGGTGATGGTGGTGGTGATGGTGATGGTGGTGATGGTGGTTGATGGTGGTGGTGATGGTGATGGTGGTGATGGTGGTGATGGTGGTGATGGTGGTGGTGGTGATGGTGATGGTGGTGGTGATGGTGGTGATAATGGTGGTGATGGTGGTGATGGTGGTGATGGTGGGGTTGATGATGGAGATGGTGGTGGTGATGATGGTGGTGATGGTGGTGGTGATGGTGGTGGTGATGGTGATGGTGGTGATGGTGGTGATGGTGGTGGTGATGGTGATGGTGTGATGGTGGTGATGGTGGTGGTGGTGGTGATGGTGGTGCTGGTGGTGATGGTGGTGATGGTGGTGGTGGTGATGATGGTGGTGGTGATGGTGGTGGTGGTGATGGTGGTGATGGTGGTGATGGTGATGGTGGTGGTGATGGTGTGGTGATGGTGGTGATGGTGATGATGGTGGTGGTGATGATGGTGGGATCGTGATGGTAGTGATGGTGGTGGTGGTGATGGCTGGTGATGATGATGGTGGTGATGATGATGGTGGTGATGGTGGTGATGGGGTGGTGATGGTGATGGTGGTGATGGTGGTGATGGTGGTGATGGTGGTGTGGTGATGGTGGTGGTGGTGGTGATGGTGGTGATAATGGTGGTGATGGTGGTGATGGTGGTGATGGTGGGGTTGATGATGGAGATGGTGGTGGTGATGATGGTGGTGATGGTGGTGGTGATGGTGGTGGTGATGGTGATGGTGGTGATGGTGGTGATGGTGGTGGTGATGGTGATGGTGGTGATGGTGGTGATGGTGGTGGTGGTGGTGATGGTGGTGCTGGTGGTGATGGTGGTGATGGTGGTGGTGGTGATGATGGTGGTGGTGATGGTGGTGGTGGTGATGGTGGTGATGGTGGTGATGGTGATGGTGGTGGTGATGGTGGTGGTGATGGTGGTGATGGTGATGATGGTGGTGGTGATGGTGGTGGTGATGGTGGTGGTGGTGGTGGTGATGGTGGTGGTGGTGGTGATTGTGGTGATGGTGGTGATGGTGATGGTGGTGCTGGTGGTGGTGGTGATGGTGGTGGTGGTGGTGATGGTGGTGGTGGTGATGGCGCTGATGATGGTGGTGATGGTGGTGATGGTGGTGGTGGTGGTGATAGTGATGGTGGTGGTGATGGTGATAGTGGTGATGGTGATGGTGGTGATGGTGATGGTGGTGATGGTGGTGGTGGTGATGGTGATGGTGGTGATGGTGATGGTGGTGATGGTGATGGTGGTGATCATGGTGATGGTGGTGGTGGTGATGGTGGTGGTGGTGGTGATGGTGGTGGTGATGATGATGGTGATGGTGGTGGTGGTGGTGATGGTGGTGGTGATGGTGGTGATGGTGATGATGGTGGTGGTGATGATGGTGGGATCGTGATGGTAGTGATGGTGGTGATGGTGATGGTGGTGATGATGATGGTGGTGATGGTGGTGATCGTGATGGTGGTTGATGGTGGTGGTGATGGTGATGGTGGTGGTGATGGTGGTGGTGGTGGTGATGGTGGTGATGATGGTGGTGGTGGTGATGATGGTGTGGTGGTGGTGATGGTGGTGGTGATGGTGGTGGTGGTGATGGTGGTTGGTGATGTATGGTGGTGATGGTGGTGATGGTGGTGATGGTGGTGGTGGTGATGGTGGTGATGGTGATGATGGTGATGGTGGTGGTGATGGTCGTGGTGGTGGTGGTGATGGTGGTGTTGGTGGTGATGGTGGTGATGGTGATGGTGGTAATGGTGGTGGTGCTGATGGTGGTGGTGGTGATGGTGATGGTGGTGGTGATGGTGATGGTGGTGATGGTGATGGTTGTGATGGTGGTGGTGGTGATGGTGATGGTGGTGATGGTGATGGTGGTGATGGTTGGTGATGGTGGTGATGGTGATGGTGGTGATGATGGCGATTGTGGTGGTGGTGGTGGTGGTGATGGTGATGGTGGTGATGGTGATGGTGGTGATGGTGGTGGTGGTGATGGTGATGTGGTGATGGTGATGGTGGTGATGGTGGTGATGGTGGTGGTGGTGATCATGGTGATGGTGGTGGTGGTGATGGTGGTGATGGTGGTGGTGGTGATGGTGGTGATGATGGCGATTGTGGTGGTGGTGGTGGTGGTGATGGTGATGGTGGTGATGGTGGTGATGGTGATGATGGTGATGGTGGTGATGATGGTGGGGATCGTGATGGTAGTGATGGTGGTGATGGTTGATGGTGGTGATGATGATGATGGTGGTGGTGATGGTGGTGATCGTGATGGTGATGGTGGTGATGGTGGTGGTGATGGTGATGATGGTGGTGATGGTGATGATGGTGGTGATACTGCTGATGATGATGCTGCTGATGATGATTATGATGCTGTTGATGCTGTTGCTGATGATGATGCTGTTGCTGATGATGATGATGATGAAGCTTCTGCTGCTGATGATGATGCTGTTGCTGATGATGATGCTGTTGCTGCTGATGATGAGGCTTCTGCTGATGATGATGATGCTTCTCCTGATGATGATGATGATGCTGCTTCTGCTGCTGATGATGATGCTGCTGTTGCTAATGATGATGATGAAGCTTCTGATGATGATGCTGCTGCTGACGATGATGATGATGCTTCTGATGATGATGATGCTGCTTCTGCTGATGATGATGCTGTTGCTGATGATGATGATGAAGCTTCTGCTGCTGATGATAATGCTGTTGCTGATGATGCTGTGGCTGATGATGATGCTGTTGCTGATGATGATGATGCTGTTGCTGCTGCTGCTGATGATGCTTCTGCTGCTGATGATGTTGATGATGATGCTGTTGCTAATGATGATGATGAAGCTTCTGATGATGATTATGCTGCTTCTGCTGATGATGATGCATCTGCTGATGATTATGATGATGCTGTTGCTGCTTCTGCTGCTGATGATGTTGATGATGATGCTGTTGCTAATGATGATGATGAAGCTTCTGATGATGATGATGCTGATGATGATGTTGCTGCTGATGCTGCTGCTGATGATGCTGATGATACTTCTGCTGTTGCTGATGATGATGCTGCTGATGATGCTGCTGATGCTGCTGCTGATGATGATGCTGATGATGCTGATGCTGATGATGCTGATGATGCTGATGATGATGCTGATGATGATGCTGATGATGCTGATGATGATGCTAATGATGATGCTGATGATGCTGATGCTGATGATGCTGATGATGATGCTGATGATGATGCTGATGATGCTGATGATGATGCTGATGCTGATGATGCTGATGATGCTGATGATGCTGATGATGCTGATGATGATGATGATGCTGATGATGCTGATGATGCTGATGATGATGATGATGCTGATGATGCTGATGATGATGCTTCTGCAAGGTTCTGCCACTGGAGATCCAAAACGCCCGTCTCAGTCTGGCCGTGCAGCAAACGCAGAGCTCCGCTGATGACTACAAAGTGAGGTGATTCCCAGCCTGTCACACGGGACACATTCAAGGCTGAGCCGACCTAGGGGAGGGCACGGGCAGAGGCGTGGAACCTCGCCAGGTACACAGGAGGCCGTGGGTTCGATCCCTGTGAGATGTTAATTACCACGCCTGGTATACAGGAGGTCGTGGGTTGAATCCCTGACCCTGTGAGATGTTGACTACCTCGCCTGGTACACAGGAGGTCGTGGGTTCAATCCCTGGACCCTGTGAGATGTTGACTACCTCGCCTGGTACACAGGAGGGTCGGGGGTTCGATCCCTGGACACTGTGAGATGTTGACAACCTCGCCTGGTACACAGGAGGTCGTGGGTTCGATCCCTGTACCCTGTGAGTTGTTGACTACCTCGCCTGGTACGCAGGAGGTCGTGGGTTCGATCCCTGTACCCTGTGAGATGTTGACTACCTCGCCTGGTACACAGGAGGTCGTGGGTTCGATCCCTGGACACTGTGAGATGTTGACAACCTCGCCTGGTACACAGGAGGTCGTGGGTTCTATCCCTGTACCCTGTGAGATGTTGACTACCTCGCCTGGTACGCAGGAGGTCGTGGGTTCGATCCCTGTACCCTGTGAGATGTTGACTACCTCGCCTGGTACACAGGAGGTCGTGGGTTCGATCCCTGGACCCTGTGAGATGTTGACTACCTCGCCCGGTGCACAGGAGGTCGTGGGTTCGAACCCTGGACCCTGTGAGATGTTGACTACCTCGCCTGGTACACAGGAGGTCGTGGGTTCAATCCCTGTACCCTGTGAGATGTTGACTACCTTGCCTGGTACACAGGAGGTCGTGGGTTCTATCCCGGACCCTGTGAGATGTTGACTACCTCGCCTGGTACACAGGAGGCCGTGGGTTCGATCCCTGTGAGATGTTGACTACCTCGCCTGGTACACAGGAGGTCGTGGGTTCGATCACTGGACTCTGTGAGATGTTGACTACCTCGCCTGGTACACAGGACGTCGTGGGTTAGGTCCCTAGACCCTGTGAGATGTTGACTACCTCGCCTGGTACACAGGAGGTCGTGGGTTCAATCCCTGGACCCTGTGAGATGTTGACTACCTCGCCTGGTATACAGGAGGTCGTGGGTTCAATCCCTGGACCCTGTGAGATGTTGACTACCTCGCCTGGTCTACAGGAGGTCGTGGGTTCAATCCCTGGACCCTGTGAGATGTTGACTACCTCGCCGGTACACAGGAGGTCGTGGGTTCGATCCCTGCACACTGTGAGATGTTCACTACCTCGCCTGGTATACAGGAGGTCGTGGGTTCGATCCCTGGACCCTGTGAGATGTTGACTACCTCGCCTGGTACGCAGGAGGTCGTGGGTTCGATCCCTGGACCCTGTGAGATGTTGACTACCTCGCCTGGTCTACAGGAGGTCGTGGGTTCGATCCCTGGACCCTGTGAGATGTTGACTACCTCGCCTGGTACACAGGAGGTCGTGGGTTCGATCCGTAGACCCTGGGAGATGTTGACTACCTCGCTGGTCTACAGGAGGTCGTGGGTTCGATCCCTGGACCCTGTGAGATGTTGACTACCTCGCCTGGTCTACAGGAGGTCGTGGGTTCTATCCCTGGACCCTGTGAGATGTTGACTACCTCGCCTGGTACACAGGAGGTCGTGGGTTCGATCCCTGGTCCCTGTGAGATGTTGACTACCTCGCCTGGTACACAGGAGGTCGTGGGTTAGATCCCTGTACCCTGTGAGATGTTGACTACGTCGCCTGGTACACAGGAGGTCGTGGGTTGAATCGCTGGACCCTGTGAGATGTTGACTACCTCGCCTGGTCTACAGGAGGTCGTGGGTTCGATCCCTGGACCCTGTGAGATGTTGACTACCTCGCCTGGTACACAGAAGGTCGTGGGTTCTATCCCTGGACCCTGTGAGATGTTGACTACCTCGCCTGGTACACAGGAGGTCGTGGGTTGAATCGCTGGACCCTGTGAGATGTTGACTACCTCGCCTGGTGTACAGGAAGTCGTGGGTTCGACCCTGGACCCTGTGAGATGTTGACTACCTCGCCTGGTACACAGGAGGTCGTAGGTTCGATCCCTGGACCCTGTGAGATGTTGACTAACTCGCCTGGTACACAGAAGGTCGTGGGTCCGAACCCTGGACCCTGTGAGATGTTGACTACCTCGCCTGGTGTACAGGAGGTCGTGGGTTCGAACCCTGGACCCTGTGAGATGTTGACTACCTCGCCTGGTACACAGGAGGTCGTAGGTTCGATCCCTGGACCCTGTGAGATGTTGACTACCTCGCCTGGTACACAGGAGGTCGTGGGTTCGATCCCAGGACCCTGTGAGATGTCGAACCCACGACCTCCTGCGTACCAGGCGAGGTAGTCAACATCTCAGTAGCCACCACTCACCCACCCACTCACTCACTTACTCACCCACTCACTTACTCACCCACTCACTTACTCACCCACTCACTTACTCACCCACTCACTTACTCACCCACTCACTTACTCACCCACTCACTCACTCACCCACTAACTCATCCACCAACTCACTCACTCACCCACTCACTCATTCACTCACCCACTCACCCACTCATTCATTCACTCACGCACTCACTCACCCACTCACCCACTCACTCACTCACCCACTCACTCACTCACCCACCCACTCACCCACTCACTCACCCACCCACTCACTCACTCACTGACCCACTCACCCACTCACTCACTCAATCACTCACCCACTCACTCACCACCCACCCTCCAACTCACACACTCACCCACCCACTCACTCACCACCCACCCACTCACCCATTCACCCACTCACTCACTCACCCATTCACCCACCCACCTACTCACTCACTCCCTCACCCACCCACTCACTCAATCACTCAATCACTCACTCACTCACTAACCCACTCACCCACCCACTCACCTGCTCACCCACCCACTCACCCACTCACTCACCCACCCACCCACTCAGTCACCACCCACCCTCCAACTCACACACTCACCCACCCACTCACTCACCACCCACCCACTCACCCATTCACTCACCCACTCACTCACCCACTCACCCATTCACCCACCTACCTACTCACTCACTCCCTCACCCACCCACTCACTCAATCACTCAATCACTCACTCACTCACTAACCCACTCACCCACCCACTCACCCACTCACCCACCCACCCATTCACCCACCCACCTACTCACTCACTCACCCACCCACTCACTCACTAACCCACTCACCCACCCACTCACCTGCTCACCCACCCACTCACCCACTCACTCACTCACTCACCCACCCACTCACTCACTCACTCACCCACCCGCTCACTCACCCACTCACTCACCCACTCACCCACTCACTCACCCACCCACTCACCCAATCACCCACTCACTTACCCACCCACCCACTCACCCACCCACTCACCCACTCACTCACCCACTCACCCACTCACCCACTCACTCACCCACTCACTCACTCACTCACCCACCCACTCACTCACCCACCCACTCACTCACTCACTGACCCACTCACCCACTCACTCACTCACCCACTCACTCACTCACTCACCCACTCACTCACTAACTCACCCACTCACACACCCACTCATCTACTCACCCAATCACCCACTCACTCACCACCCACCCTCCAACTCACACACTCACTCACTCACCCACTCACTCACCCACCCGCTCACTCACCCACCCACTCACTCACCACCCACCCACTCACCCATTCACCCACTCACTCACTCACTCACCCACTCACCCATTCACCCACCCACCTACTCACTCACTCACCCACCCACTCACTCACTAACTCACTCACCCACTCACCCACTCACTCACCCACTCACCCACTCACCCACCCACCCACTCACCCACTCACTCACCCACTCACTCACCCACCCACTCACCCACCCACTCACCCCCCACTCACCCCCAGGATGGAGGGTGAGTGTTTGCTGCGGGTGGATGTTGAAAGGCGGCTGGCTGACGTCCACCGATGGGTGGACGACTTCTCCAGCTCACGCCCCGAGTTGGAGTCTAAGGTGGAGCGACTCCGTGAGAAGTTGTCCACCCTGCAGAGGGAGCACTTACAGGTGAGTGAGTGGGTGAGTGGGTGAGTGAGTGAGTGGGTGAGTGAGTGGGTGGGTGGGTGAGTGAGTGAGTGAGTGGGTGGGTGAGTGAGTGAGTGAGTGGGTGAGTGGGTGAGTGAGTGGGTGAGTGGGTGAGTGAGTGGGTGAGTGGGTGAGTGAGTGAGTGAATGGGTGGGTGAGTGAGTGAGTGAGTGGGCGAGTGAGTGAGTAAGTGGGTGGGTGGGTGTGTGAGTGAGTGAGTGAGTGGGTGAGTGAGTGAGTGGGTGAGTGAGTGGGTGAATGGGTGAGTGTCCTTGACACCAGGACCTACCGTGGAGCTGATCTGCCCTCTGACCATCGACTAGTCATCTGTAAGATGCGCCTGCCATTCTTCCACTCCGGTGGTGGGTGTACACCCAGGACCCCATTCCCACCTAAAGTGGCCTGGTCTCAGTTATCTGATGAAAGTTGCAAGCGAGAATTTCATCATTGCTTGCGGCTGGGGTTGGCATCGTCCCCGACTCCTCCTGATGTCGAGGGTAAATGGGCGAGGTTTAGGACTGTGACTCATGCAGCTGCAATGGCTGCTTTGGGTACGCGGTCCAGACCTCCCCAGAGACCCTGGCTGACAGAGAAGGTGTTCAGAATGGTTGAGAAAAATCGACAGGCCCACTGTCATCGGCTACAACATCCCACGTCAGAGAATGAGGAGGCTTACCGCAGCCTTCGCTCGGAGGTTCGGAGAGCCGTGAGGCGCTGCAAGGATGGGTGGTGGTCGCGGGTTGCTGAGGAGATGGAGTCTGCCTCAATAACCCGTGATCACAAATCTCTATTTAACTCCATCAAAAAAGTAACCTGCAGCGCCACACCTATTGCCATCATTAGGGGAAAAAACGGTGATCCAATCTCCGACCCCCAGGAAGGATTATTCAACATCGCCTTGCCAGGCACGCTGAGGAGAGGCTTGCGGAGCCCCAATGCGGTTTCAGGGAAGGGCGGTCCTGCACAGATGCCATATTGTCTGTCCGTCTGCTACAGCAGAGGTGTAGGGAATTCCAGCAAGACCTACATCTCTGCTTTATTGACCTGGTCAAGGCCTATGATACCATCAGTAGGCCTGGGCTCTGAGTCGTTCTTCGTGCTTTTGGAGTCCCTGACCTCTGCTCACGATCATTAAAGACCTTCATGATGGTGAGCAGGCCCGGGTAAAACTACGTGGCCGGGAGTCAGAGCCATTCCCTGTACACCTTGGGGTGCGACAGGGATGTCCTCTCGCTCCCACATTATTAAACATCTATTTTGACCACGTAGTTCGTGAAGCCTTCAATAGCTGTACCGGGGGAATCTCCATATGGTACAGATATAATGGGAGGCTGATCGATGCCCGGGTGCGGTCAAGGGATGGCTCCCTATTGCTCAACCACGTTAAGTATGCCGATGATTTGGTAATAGCTGCTCAGTCAGAGGAGGAGTTGGAGACGCTGCTGCTGAGACTGGAGCGTGCCACTAAGAGGTGGGGCCTTACCATCAGCCCCACCAAAACTAAGCACCTGCCTGGGTATTTTGTACCATCGGACACTCCACCCCCACAACTCCCAATCGGTGATGGGGCAGTTGTGGAGAGAGTGGAGAGTTTCCCATACCTGGGCAGTGTGCTTATGACCGGCTCCAGTTTAAAAGCAGAGGTCTAACTCCGAATCAGTCGAGCGGCAATATCTTTTCATCGGTTGCGTAACGCTGTGTGGAAGCTACCTGGTCTGTCGCTCCGCACTAAGCTTCAGGTCTTCTCGGCCACGGTCATTCCCTACCTTCTCTACGCTTGCGAAACGGGGGACCCCCTTAATGGAACATCTTCGCCGGTTGGAAACATTTAGGCTGGCCTGCCTACAATCCATCCTGGGTTTAACCAGGCTGGATTGTGTGAGGAACTCAAAAATCCTTGAAAGATCTGGGCAGGGTCCCATCGGTGAGCTCCTCCGGCAAGGCTGTGATGGCTGGGTCATGTAGCCCGCATGCCCAGCCACCGCATGCCGAAACAGCTTTTGTTCGGCCGGATTGAGGGGGCTAAGTGGGCGCGGCACGGGCTAGAGAAGAGATGGAGTGATGTGGTACAGGAGAACGTGGAGCTGAGTGGACTTGCCGATGACCGGTACCAGCGGTGTCAAGATCGGCCTCTGTGGAGGAGGCTCGTGAAGGAGGCTACTGGGCAGTTGGAGGCAGTCGCCCTCCAACAACAACGGAGGGCGGAGGAGCGACGCTCACAACAACGAGCGGAGCGCCGGGTGGCTAAAGCACAGCAAGTTGGCACAGTAGGGGGCACAGGTGGTGCATCAGCCAGTCATCTCAGTCATCTCAGTCAGTCGACCCGTGGCACCTGCTGGGTCTGCCCCGTGACCTCCTGCCAGCGGGCGTTCGACACTTCACGTGGCCTCAAGGTGCACATAGCCTGGCACAAGCGTCGTGGTGACGTCACCACCACTTATTTGCGAATGGCGGTTGTTGTTGTTGTCTGTGTGTGTGACTGTGTATCTGTCTGTGTGTGTCTGTGTGTGTATCTGTCTGTGTGTCTGTGTGTGTGTCTGTGTGTGTGTCTGTGTGTGTCTCTGTGTGTGTGTCGCTGTGTGTGTGTATCTGTGTGTGTGTGTCTCTCTGTGTGCGTGTCTCTGTGTGTGTCTGTGTGTGTGTCTCTCTGTGTGTGTCTCTCTGTGTGTGTGTCTCTGTGTGTGTCTGTGTGTGTCTCTGTGTGTGTATCTGTGTGTGTGTCTCTGTGTGTGTGTATCTGTGTGTGTGTATCTGTGTGTGTGTATCTGTGTGTGTCTCTGTGTGTGTGTATCTGTGTGTGTGTATCTGTGTGTGTGTATCTGTGTGTGTCTCTGTGTGTGTATGTGACTGTGTGTATCTGTGTCTGTGTGTGTCTGTGTCTGTTTGTATCTGTGTCTGTGTGTATCTGTGTCTGTGTGTATCTGTATGTGTCTGTGTGTGTGTCTGTGTGTATTTCTGTGACTGTGTGTGTGTCTGTGTGTGTGTCTCTGTGTGTGTATATGACTGTGTGTGTCTCTGTGTCTGTGTGTGTATCTCTGTGTGTGTATGTGTCTGTGTGTCTCTGTGTGTGTATCTGTGTGTGTGTATCTGTGTGTGTATCTCTGTGACTGTGTGTGACTGTGTGTGTGTCTCTGTGTGTGTCTGTGTGTGTGTGTCTCTGTGTGTACTGTGTGTGTGTATCTGTGTGTGTATCTCTGTGACTGTGTGTCTCTGTGACTGTGTGTGACTGTGTGTGTGTGTGTACTGTGTGTGTGTGTACTGTGTGTGTGTGTCTGTGTGTGTCTCTGTGTGTGTGTCTCTGTGTGTGTAGGCACAGGCTGTGATTCTCTCACAGCTGCTCAGCAGAGACCTCTGGCGTGGCCACGAGCTCCCTCTGCTGTCTGTGTCTCTGTGTGTGTCTCTGTGTGTCTCTCTGTGTGTGTCTGTGTGTGTGTACTGTGTGTGTGTGTCTCTGTGTGTCTCTCTGTGTGTATCTGTGTGTGTATCTGTGTGTGTGTATCTATGTGTGTCTCTGTGTGTGTGTACTGTGTGTGTATCTGTGTGTGTATCTCTGTGACTGTGTGTCTCTGTGTGTGTAGGCACAGGCTGTGATTCTCTCACAGCTGCTCAGCAGAGACCTCTGGCGTGGCCACGAGCTCCCTCTGCTGTCTGTGTCTCTGTGTGTGTCTCTGTGTGTCTCTGTGCGTGTCTGTGTGTGTGTCTCTGTGTGTCTCTCTGTGTGTATCTGTGTGTGTGTATCTGTGTGTGTATCTCTGTGTGTGTGTACTGTGTGTGTGTCTGTGTGTCTCTCTGTGTGTATCTGTGTGTGTGTATCTGTGTGTGTACTGTGTGTGTGTGTACTGTGTGTGTGTCTCTGTGTGTGTCTCTGTGTGTGTGTCTCTGTGACTGTGTGTGTCTCTGTGTGTGTAGGCACAGGCTGTGATTCTCTCACAGCTGCTCAGCAGAGACCTCTGGCGTGGCCACGAGCTCCCTCTGCTGTCTGTGGATCCGAGCGAGGCTCTGGGTGAGGCTCTCAGAGCCGGCCTGGCTTACGTGAAGAGCCACGCCTCTGGTACGACCACAACTACCCAGCTCAGCGTGGAGTCTGGGGTGAGTGGATGGGTGGGTGAGTGAGTGGGTGGGTGAGTGGGTGAGTGAGTGGGTGAGTGGGTGAGTGGGTGGGTGAGTGGGTGGGTGAGTGAGTGGGTGAGTGAGTGGGTGGGTGAGTAGGTGGGTGGGTGAGTGAGTGGGTGGGTGGGTGAGTGGGTGGGTGAGTGAGTGGGTGAGTGAGTGGGTGAGTGGGTGGGTGGGTGAGTGGGTGGGTGAGTGAGTGGGTGGGTGAGTGGGTGGGTGAGTGAGTGGGTGGGTGAGTGAGTGGGTGGGTGAGTGGGTGGGTGAGTGAGTGGGTGAGTGAGTGGGTGAGTGGGTGGGTGGGTGAGTGGGTGGGTGAGTGAGTGGGTAGGTGGGTGAGTGGGTGAGTGGGTGAGTGGGTGGGTGGGTGAGTGGGTGAGTGGGTGAGTGAGTGGGTGGGTGAGTGGGTGGGTGAGTGGGTAGGTGGGTGAGTGAGTGGGTGGATGGGTGGGTGAGTGGGTGGGTGGGTGAGTGAGTGAGTGGGTGGGTGAGTGAGTGAGTGGGTGGGTGGGTAGGTGGGTGGGTGAGTGAGTGGGTGGTTGAGTGAGTGAGTGGGTGAGTGGGTGAGTGCGTGGGTGGGTGGGTGAGTGGGTGAGTGAGTGGGTCAGTGAGTGGGTGGGTGAGTGGGTGGGTGGGTGAGTGGGTGGGTGGGTGGGTGGGTGGGTGAGTGAGTGAGTGGGTGGGTGGGTAGGTGGGTGGGTGAGTGGGTGGATGGGTGGGTGAGTGAGTGGGTGGATGGGTGGGTGAGTGGGTGGGTGGGTGGGTGAGTGAGTGAGTGGGTGGGTGGGTGAGTGGGTAGGTGGGTGGGTGGGTGAGTGAGTGGGTGGATGGGTGGGTGAGTGGGTGGGTGGGTGGGTGAGTGAGTGAGTGGGTGGGTGAGTGAGTGAGTGAGTGGGTGGGTGGGTAGGTGGGTGGGTGAGTGAGTGGGTGGGTGGGTGAGTGAGTGAGTGGGTGGGTGGGTAGGTGGGTGGGTGAGTGAGTGAGTGGGTGAGTGGGTGAGTGAGTGGGTAGGTGGGTGGGTGAGTGGGTGGGTGAGTGAGTGGGTGGGTGAGTGAGTGGGTGAGTGGGTGGGTGGGTGAGTGTTATGGTCACGTGGTTGCTGTAGGTTGACAACCCCATGGTGCTGAGAGCCTTGGCCGACCGTCTGAGGCAGCGGATCGAGCAGCTCAACTACAAGGTGATCGAGCGTTGTTCCCTCTCACTCACTCACCAACTCACCACCCACTCACCCACACACTCACCCACCCACCCACCCACCCACCCACTCACCCACTCACCCACCCACTCACTCACTCACCCACCCACCCACCCACTCACCCACCCACTCACTCACTCACTCACCCACCCACTCACCCACCCACTCACCCACTCACCCACCCACTCACTCACTCACCCACCCACTCACCCACCCACCCACCCACTCACTCACTCACTCACCCACCCACTCACTCACTCACCCACTCACTCACTCACTCACCCACTCACTCACCAACTCACTCACCAACTCACTCACTCACCAACTCACTCACCAACTCACTCACCCACCCACCCACTCACCACCCCACTCACCCACTCACTCACCCACCCACTCACTCACTCACCCACTCACTCACTCACCCACTCACCCACTCACCCACTCACCCACTCACTCACTCACCCACTCACTCACCCACTCACTCACCAACTCACTCACCCACTCACCCACTCACTCACCAACTCACTCACCAACTCACCAACTCACTCACCAACCCACACCTTACCATGTTTCCCTGTCTGTTACTCCGAGTGTAGAAGCAGATTCTGCGGCAATCTCTCTCGTCACAATCAGCTCCACAATCATCGTCACAATCATCATCACAATCATCATCACAACCGCAATCATCATCATCATCACAATCAGCTCCACAATCATCGTCACAATCATCATCACAATCATCGTCATCATCATCATCGGCGGCGGCTCCACTCATCGCTGCAACCGAAGCCGCCTCCTCCGTCCTGGAGGCGGAGCTCCGCGCCGTGCGGGCCCAGGCCGCCACGGAGCTCCGCGAGGGGGACCTCGCCCTGAGGCTGCGCTCCCTCCTCCTCCGTGAGGCCGCCGCCTTCAGGAGGCAGCTGCAGCCCCTCGGTGGAGGCGGAGCGCAAGGAGGCCGGTGGGTCCCAGCGCGGAGCTCCGCGAGGGGGACCGGTTGGTGGGTCCCCGGGGTGGAGAGTTGCATTGGAGGGGTCCCAGCGCGGAGCTCCGCGAGGGGGACCGGGTGGTGGTCCAGGGGGAGAGTTGTATTGCACAGGCCCAAGCGCGGAGCTCCGCGAGAGGGACCGGGTGGTGGGTCCCCGGTTGGAGAGTTGCATTGCAGGGGCCCCAGCGCGGAGCTCCGCGAGGGGGACCGGGTGGTGGTCCAGGGGGAGAGTTGTATTGCACAGGCCCAAGCGCGGAGCTCCGCGAGAGGGACCGGGTGGTGGGTCCCCGGTTGGAGAGTTGCATTGCAGGGGCCCCAGCGCGGAGCTCCGCGAGGGGGACCGGGTGGTGGTCCAGGGGGAGAGTTGTATTGCACAGGCCCAAGCGCGGAGCTCCGCGAGAGGG